TCTCTCTCTCTCTCTCTCTCTCTCTCTCTCTCTCTCTCTCTCCCTCTCTCTCTCTCTCTCTCTCGTGCGCGCGCGCGCACTCGCATTCTCTTTCCCCCCACACTGACCACAGATCCACCTGTGTGCCTGTCTTTGAGCCAGCCCCACCAGGCCTGTTGTTTTCTCTAGTCCCCTCTTTTTTTTCCACTCCCTCTTCCTTGAATTTATTCTTGCTTGTTTTTCTTTTCCGATTTCAAAATCCCTTCACAAGGAACAGAACGACAAAAAAAGCTGGGTACTGATCTCATGGTCCTCCACCCTGGGCAATGATTCTGGCTTGGGATGCTCCTGGCATCTCATGGATTTGCTTCGCATCCCACGCTTTGAAAAATCATATTCATCTACTTTAAACCACCAGTACTTGGCCCATACGTCGGCCGCGTGCGTTTCCCGTTGACGCGCCGCGACCGATGGGCTCCGGGGTTCCAGACCACAATGGCTGGAGGCACCAGCCAAAATTGAAACAAAACGAGGCACTGTCAGTTCGGCAAAACTTGGCGCGCAGGGCGTTACCCGGCTCGGCATCAATAGCTGGGCCAAGTACTGGTGGTTTAAGCATGACTTTGCGGCCAGGAATGGGGGAGCGCACCTGCACATGCTAATTGGATCATATTCATCTCTACTTTAACCATGACTTTGCGGCCAGGAATGGGGGCCAGTGCTTGCACACGCTAATTGGAAGAACTGAATTTTGAAGTCTCATTTCACAACGGTGCAACAATTATTTTCATCAAAAGTTCCGGGTCATGCCTGCATTTACTGTAGTACCTGAAATAGATGCCAGGGATAACCCCACAAGCTCATGATATATGTAAAAAAACATTCATCAGCAAAGGGCAGCTAGCAGTTACTCTCCATCTTAGACTACTCATCATGAGATGTCACTACATCAAAACTCCTACACTTCATCTATCTTACATCTGTTCTGCAGGACTTCTATCACCTGGCCCCATGCACACTACTAAGCAACATAGTTCCTGCATAGCAATCATTCACACCAACTATGGAGCTAATAGAGACACAGAGAAGCATGAAAAAAGAGTGACAGAAGAACCAGTTAAATAGACCAGTTCATTAGTATTCAATTCAAACTTCAAAGAGCTTAAATGAGAATTCTGAGCTGAGTATCCCTTGATCATCACATGTTTGCGATGTCAAGTGTAGTTCTGCTGCTCTTGCTCCTTGTGGAGGGCGGGGAGCGTAGAGTTTTGTTTTGTTTTTTTGTTTTTATTAAAGAAGTCCAGGGTGTTGTAGAGGCCAGTTACTCGGCCCACGGTGATTACCAGGAGCCGTCAGCCATCATGGCTGTCCTGAGAAGACGAGGCCACCTCCCATCCCATCCTCGCGTCAATACTCCTTGCTATCCTACCTTATAGTGTGACCAGCACTCAGGACCATCACCCTACCAGTATCGAGGGCAACTTGGACCGGACAGCAGTGACAGACACCAAGGCTAGCTAGCCATGACCCAGCCCTGGTGGAAGCGAAATCGAATGCGCCTTGTCATACGGGAACGTCGGACGCCGGGCTCAAGCAATCTCCCACTAGCTTTAAAATCGTAATGAGAGGGACGGCCTGCTAAGCAGGCACAGACCGCAGGATGAGGCAAGCTGGCGCCCATGGACACATCCTACCGTCCTCCCCCTAGCTTGCCCGAGGCTAGGCGGAACTTGGACTAGCCTGAGCGATTTATATCCCTGCCCGAGCCCTAGCGGCAAACCACATCAAGCAGTAACTCGCGTCCTCTACTCGCCCACACACAGTCAAGCTGATTTACGGCGGGGTACTTATCATCGAAACGCCTATCATCATCATTAGCTGATCTAGAGCAACCCCCCTATTATTAATAGACCTCCCTCCGACAAAGCAGCAACTCACATCCTCGACTCGCCCACATACAGAGCTTAGTAGTTTACCTGATATCTGTCGAGTTTCTCCATTGCTGTGCTCTTCGCTGTTCTCACTGAGGACCGTGTTAAGTCCATTGTTGTCGGACTAAACAAAGAACCTGGGTCGGTTGTTGCAGGAGGTAGGTTCGGGGGAGACGGAATCAAGCAATGCCACACTTCAGAACCAAGACTCGCCCTCATAAAGTCGGCAAAAAAAAAATCTCCCGTCCAATGATTTGCGACGGAGTTGCCTCCTTCATACCTGATCACGTACGTACGAAGAGTCTGATGATGACGTCATGAGATAAAACTCGCGGGACACTTTATTTGCTGCTCCGCTTGTTCTTCTCCTGCCCGTCTGCTCACGCTCCGACCAAACTCCTGCAGGAGTATACTTGGCAGCTGCTCATGCTTGGACCAAATTCCTGCTCGCGCTGGGCCCAAACTCCGGTGTTACTGCCTTTGCTTCCCATCCTGCTCCTGCTGTTTATGTTTCTCATGCGCCTTTTCCTGCTTCCACCACTTCAAGCCGGCAGCTTGTGCATCCATTATTAATTATTTGATATGCTATATATGTATTATATGGTAGTTAGTAACATTTTTCTTTTAGTTTGGACCATTTTTCGATTTATGCGTGTCATCCTTGCACAGGGGCCAAGCTAATTTTCTCTGTATCGTTCCAATTTTAACGGATGTCCTGAAGGACGCTAATTCGTAATTAGTGATATTAATCAAACAATGACGGGGATTTACGATTACGCAATCGCATACTGGAAAGTAGGGAAGCCCTTCATTATGCCGCAGGCTATGCATTATAGGGCTCTTGTTAACCGCAGGGCTCACACACACTGGAATCCCAGTTTTTGTGACTCACAAACTGCTGCACTCAATAGTCCCATAGAAAAGCTGAAGAATGACAATTCCAGAAGGGAGCGAGTCTTTTGAGGATACAAAAAATAATTGCATGATTCAAGAACAAAAGATTATTACATCGTTATCATGTCATGGGATTTCATCCCATAGGAGGAGAGCCTGAACAGCGAAATACCCAAAGACACAGCCCTTTGTGAACTCTAATCCCCAGCCCACCCCACCCCAAACCCCCTTTCATTATGCCCCCAATCCCAATCCCCGGCATTCACAAAGGAACGCCCAAATAATTGTTTGTTCAGCATACCTTATCCCATAAATCAGCCACTCGATCGCCAGTGCACCTCAATCAACTCCAGAACACGAGGCAGAACTCCTTCACTCCGGCTTGGCCGCTAAACTATTCAGTGCCTGACAGCAGTCGTTAGCCCTTGATTGACCCAGTTGTCCATCACCCATCCATCAGATATGCATGGCAGCACCCTAAATAGTAAATATATATACTCAAATTGCAGCAGCGAGCAAATGCCATGACACCGCAGAGCAATCGTAACCTCTTCTGCGAGGACAGTCACAAATCAGCCGCGGCGACATACTTCTTCCTGGAAATGTCAACGACAAACGCAGTCGCACATTCAATGGACCACCATATTCCGGCCGGCCATCTCTCCGGCTGAGGGATATGCATAACGAGCTCCCCTCTGCCTGCCTATGTGTCATTATTCTCGTCAACATGATCACACTCCAGCTGCCTCGTGTGAAACAGTAGCCGCTGAAATAAAGAATGCAATGTGTGGGAAGTGCCAAGGCAAAGCACTTGAAAGGAGAAGTACCTGCGGCCAAACTGATCACCCAATTAATAAAGGAACACTAACTGAGGCCCAACAATTAGGTGACATGAGGATGTCGTCACCATCCTCGTGCTGGGCATGAAGAATAGAGACAATTGAGATGTAACAATAGCATGGAGCATCATGGGCAGCAGTTCACCCTCCCTCCAGAGATACATGTGTACACTGTACTCCCCTCATTCCACTCTGCATGTAGTCACCCATCTGCGAACGATATATGTCTTGCATGCTAAAGAAACCTTTCCATCACATTCCCACTCCGCTCCAGACCCTTGCTCTACTCCCCTCATTCCACTCTGTATGTAACCAACCACCCTTCCGCGAAAGATACATGTCCGCATCCGTCTGGAATCCAGAGATCCATCACATACTGCCTGATGTCCAGACCCTTGCTCTACCCCCCTCATCACTCTGTACTTGGTCACCCGTGCATGCGGACGGGCCGTTCCCAATGGCAGCTTCCCATGCCCATCCTCCCCATCTCGGCACTTTGCTGCTGTTCGTCTCCTTGTTGACGATAACATCTGGGTGAGCTCCACACCGAAGAATTGGGCAACGTAACATGTGTCGCTATGCCAGTTGTTCAAGACCATATCCGCGTAAACTCTTCACCGATAATTCGGGCAAGGTTCTTGCCACCCCCACGATGAGAGAGATTCCAATCACAAGCTTTGCTGCCTGAAAAACAAAAGGAAACCAGCTGGAAACCGTTGCACTTCCTCATTTCGGTGTGTACCTCTTTGATAAAAAACCTCTTCAGTCAAAAACCTTCGATCACAAAGGCACACACCTTCCTCGGCATGAGCAGTATCGTCCCTCTATCAAGCGAACATGAGGAACGACTGGCGTGTATAGAGCACTGCATACTTCTACCCATTTACATCTGCCTGACCTATCTCCTCGCAGTATTCAGGGAAACCTCCTGCAAACTCCTCGCAACAACCTCATCATCATCGAAGAAGTTCTCACTCTTCGTGACCAGAGGAGAAGGCACCCAAATGTCGTTTTCACCACCATGTTTGCCCTTCTATTTTTTCAGCACAAAAAGAAAAAAGGGAAAAACAGTTTAAAACACCTCATCAACGGACTTGTGTGGCCAACGCACATCGGAAGTTTCAGACAGACAAACCCCGGCATCATCAGCAGTGCGATGAAAACAATACAGCTTAGCTTATTGCATACCCTCCTTCACTACCCGAACCACCAAAGTAAGGAGCCGACAAGTACCAGAGGAAATAAATTAGTAATAATAGTTATGAAACAATGCTCCAGGCTCAGCTAATAAAGCACAGGCAATACAACTGTCTACACCCCTACTTACACCTGTGTCACAGCAACAACTTTCCGCAACACGTGTCAAGACATACATTAAACAGCAACAAAGCAATGTCGATAGACACACAAATATGCAAAATAGTAGTCAGGCAAGGGCATTGTTGCAAGCTACGGGCCAGATTCTGAAGCGCGGGCCACAAGCAACAGGCAATCCGACAGGAAACCGTACAGCTAGACTCCATGCAAACGCTGCAAAAGCAAATATATAGCCCATTCCAACTTCAAAGCATGTTGCTTTAGCACTCACTCGCTCACTCGTGATTAAATGTACAGTGCAGATAATGCAGAACCCCTCTGCATCCAGAAGACATCAACTCACCGTCATCAAGAGAAGAATTCTTCAGAGAAAATGAATGCTGCCTCCAGAGACAGAGAGAGACGATCAACCATTTGTAAGTCATGGTCGGATGGCGAACAAAACGGCCGTCATCATCAAAGACCATGCTATAATCAGACACATCTGCTAAACCCTCTACCTACGCTGTCTCTTCTCAGAGCAACAAAACAGGATCTCACATAAAATTGCTCACTTACTCTTCTTCGTGTACACATCCGGGAGACCTCGTAGTCCCTCTGTTCAACCATAAGTACTGCAGTGGCCATCCCTGCCATCCATTGCATATGCTTCATCTCATCTCTTTACAATTCCAACAAGCACTTGGGCCACCCACTTGAAATTTTTGGCATCCTACAGAAAAAACAACACCTGCCTGCACGGGGCCCAATCTTCAATTCTTCCAGGTAATTGATAAACCTCCATGTCCTTTCTGATTAACTCTGCATGTCCTTACACCTACCACTGCTGCAGGCCACCCACCAGCCTTTCCCCCTGGGACACACGATCCACATGTGGTCCCGCATCTCGCCCCGCTTTGGTCCCGTCCCTGGTCTTGTTCGAGATTCAGGGCCTTCCTCCACATATCCAGAATCTCACCCTGCTTTGGTCCCGCCTCCGGTCTTGTTCGAGATTCAAGGCCTTCCACCACATACACACACACTCACTGTGCTTCAAGCTGCAACGGACGGTCCTCGTCATGTTCACACCAACACCCTATGTGTTCGCCACTCAGCATCCGCGGCAACTTGGGAAATCCTCTGTAGGTCCATGGAAACGCACGGTCCTACAGACAAGGGATAATAACGGCAACACTTGCCCGTGTGCGATCAAACAGGTCTTGATCTGCATATTCTGAAAATGGCGCTGGCAATTTACACCACTACCTTGGACCCTTCCACGGCGCCCTGACAGTTTTTCCATCCATCATCATTTATAGATTGACCCCAGTGAAGGCAGGCCCAGACAGATCATCCAAAACGCGGCCTCTGTGTTTACCGCCGCAGCCATTTCCAGGAAGGTACTGGTTCTTTACAAACACATCACACCTGCATAAATGATAATTCCATAGGGAGCATGCAACATGGTTGCGATTGGGTCAGTCTCTCAGGTATCCAGGCTGAAATTTTGGACATCGCCGTAGTCTGCAAGTGTGAGTGCGCCTCTGGGGAATGGACAGCTTTCTTCAAAAAAAACCTCCCTCCGGATGATAACCGCATGCGCAAGAATTTGGAGCAGTCTCTCTTTCTTTGTGTCTGGAAGACGGTCCCACTCTGGCACTACTGGAATCCCTGATTGTTGGCTGCCATCATCCACCCATCGCCATTCAAAGTCTGCTGCACTCATGTGTTCAAGCAACCTAGCCTTGTCTTTGTAGCCCAGAGCTGCTCAGCCAATACGGAGAATACGAACGGGCACAGGTTCACAACACAAGTCTTAGTGGTCACCCTCTGTTTCTCAACTATCACCCACCAAATTCCCAGGTGCACTTTCCCAACCCCCACGCTTGCATCACACTTCCTTTCCCAGACACACATTTCCACGCCCGGGCCCCTTGCCATATAAAAACATTATTGTTCATATACTAATATACATCCCGATACTCATGTACACCTCGATTAAAAAATACTTATCAGATTGCCGCCAACAGCACTGCATAGCCACCAGTGCCAAGTGCCACGAGTGAACTGTACTTAAGGACACAGAAGAGCATGCAAACAACACATACTTGCAGCGCAACTGTGTGATGCGGTGTGCACGGCGCAGTGCACATATTTTTGATGCACCTGCTCACATCCAGTGTGTTTGCTGCACTCGAATTTTCATGGTGAGAGAGAGAGAGAGAGAGAGAGAGAGAGAGAGAGAGAGAGAGAG